TTTACTTATGTTAGTGAAATAGCGTAAGTTATTTCATTTACCCTTTTCCAGGCCCGGAACTGCAGTTAGGCACTTCGTTTGCCCTCCTGATGGTATCTGTACCTGATTTAGCTCTTGTTTCAACAACTGCCACTAAATGAAATTACATAATGTAATTAACTACTTTACTCATTTTATTTACTAAAATAGATAAATTAGGTTGGGACAAACGAGCTTCGGACAATCGGGGCGCCCCCAAAACGCTAGCCAAAACACCCAAAAAGGAATCTCCTCCCAATATTCGCTTTGCCAGGCCAATACAGAAGAGATATGTCCTTTTTTCTTGGACCAGTCTGTTTAAATGGTGTACTGTACAATTGTTAATGCATAAGAAACAGAATAATTATGTAGAAAAATACTATTTGTGATCATTTGACTTAATTTATTTTCACACTGTGCTAAAATAATAAATATGATGTAAAAGAAATATTTACCTAAAATTTTTAAAAAATAGAAGGAACTTGAATTTATAGAACAGCTGCTTTGAGTAGCAGAAATCATCCCGTATTAACAACAATAAATAACAATGTACATTAATAATCATAAAAAGGAAGAGTTTAGGTAGACCAGTTAACTCTTTTCTTTGCAGTGGAAGAGAGTGATGTACTTCGGTGTCTTGAAGCTCTGGACGATGGTGGACTTGGTGGTGGACTAAACTCTGGGCTGAGAGGCCCTTTAGGTGAGGGAGTAGAAATGGTTGGAAGGGAATCTAATGAAACAGCTCCAAGTAAGCGTCCTGGGGAACCTGAGGCATTATTTCCTGTGTCACTCGATTCTGCTTCAATGCTGACATTAAGGGACAGAGACACTCCAGGAGCAACAGTGACATCTGCGGAGCGAGATACCTTACGCTCCGCAGCTAATTGTCATATATCAGGCCTGCAAAATCAAATAAATACAAAAATTAGAAAGTCATTAATAAGAAATAGTTGCTACTAAAGGGCATAATTCTCTTTAGTCTTAAAAACAATGGGAAAACAAAAAACACAGCAAAATCTTTTAGTTATTTGTTCCTGACATAAGATACACCTTACAAGCAGTCATACTTTTATCCACAACCAAGTACTACAAACATAAACAGAGCAAGCAAATACTAGTTCAATCATGCATATCTAACATGCATGTATATTTCTAGTTTTGTGTGGCTTGAGTAACTTTTTGGGGCTGAAGCTGTATGTGTACACGAGCTGCGGAAACAGTATTTCTTGGCCCTTGGCCTCCTGCAGGTGATGCACGTAACAATGGAAGAACAACATAAGTGCCCTGTGAGTTAGCCCCTGGTTGCCCAAGAACATTAGCATCAGGACCAACAAACACATATCGGGCAGTGCATGAATGCAAATGGTGGCCAGATGGTGACAGTTTTCCCTCTATGTCATGTGGATATGCAATAGTGCTTTGTTGTGTATCTGTGGGTCCAGCTTGCTGCCGCACAGGGTGTCCCTTTGCCGCAGACTGCACCATGTGGAAGGTGATGTGAGGACTGGCAGATTCTGGGTGCTGAAAAGTTTTAAAAGATGAAGCAAGTGTATGAGAAGAATAGTCTCCCAGCAATAAGAAAATTCTTCTAAGACATAATAACACATCCCAGATTAAAAGACCCAGCCCAAATATTCGTCTCACCACAACAGTAGTTGATACACGTTCGTGATCTCGTGGAGCAATAACTCTTGCTTCTAAGGGTGCAGCAGCTGAAGGACCAGGAGTCTGCGGTGTTCCAAATATATATTTGGCTGTACATGATTCAATGTGCTGACCAGAGGGCGTGTATGTACACTCAATATCTTGAGGGAATGCTGCATCAGCCACTCTAAAGATAAATTTAAAAGTTAATTATAACTTTAACTATGTGAATCTTCACAAATAATACTGTGACATGGATTGCTTTGGCTGCTCCAATACCTAAGCAAATTCATAATCACATTAATTTGTAGAAGTCATTTGGTCTGCAAAATTGTAATTGACTTGCTTTGCTCTGTTACATATGATACACCAGATTAATTTTAAACACAAAAACCACACAACTTTTAGATATAAATTTTACCCTTGCCAGACCTTATTAAAGTTGAACAGTGTATATCAGTTCTTAATCTGTAAAGAAAAATCAAATTTGGAATTTTATAACAAATGAATGTGAATGGGTTTGAAGTTATGTATTCATTTTTAAAGTCGCACCTTTCTTACTGCAATCAGAATATGAGTCATCACACCCACTGAAATTTCCAGAATCTAATGATTGTTTATTGGATTGATGTGAATGAGCACTTTTTTTAGACTTTCTGTGATATGGATGTATATTTTGATTTCCACTATGTAAGTTAAGTTTTGAAGGGAAACAAAGCTGATGGTTTGTGGGAATAGTGCTGGAATCCAGAAGGAGACATAAAAAGTAATCACAGATAAAACAAAATTAAAAAAATTGCCAAAGTCCAGTGTTATTGAATCGGATACCCACACAAAACAACATTCTCTTTTATCATGAGATTTATCACAATTTATGTTAATTTTCTCAGCTGTATGGGCAGACATGGTTTTCTGACTATTAAGACTTATTTCCCTGAAAATGCAGAATAGGTCACTTGGTATTATGATACTAATTAATGCTTAGAATTTTGTACAGAAAGACTCATACAAACTTTGAAGAGATTGTATTTGTTTTGAAATTCTGTTGAAACTGGTGCGATGTTGTGATTTCATTACACCTGCTGACATTTTTGTCTAGACAGTGCTTGAAATCTTTGTGTTCTTTAGAAACTCCTTCCCCAATTACATTTTCTTCTCTGACTTTGGTTCCTGTTGGAGGGCCAGATTTATTTTGGTTTTCAATACATCTGTTTTCCTCCTCCCTTCTGTCTTTTGAAAAACAATGTCCAATAGTACTTGCATCATGAGATATCTCAGCCCGTTCAGAGACAGTTACATTATTGGAAGTAAATTGAGCCACTTCTCCAAAAGAACTGCTAAAACCTTTATCACCTCCTCCCTGGATTTACAAACAGACAAATGTTTAATCTGGGTAAACTAATTCAACATTGAAAGGAACTCAATAGAGACTAACCAAGGTTGAGTTATGTAGACGTGCAACATTGTTACTCTCCAACAGAGTGTTAACCTTAGATTCTGGCAAATTAGGCTCAGCAACCATTAGACTCTGTTCTAGACACAACTGCAGATGCTGGAGTTCCTTCTGAAGTAATTGCTGTTGCTCTACTTGTTGTTTTTGAAGGAGCAGTTGCTGCTGGGCCAACTGTTGCTGTAGAAGTTGTTCTTGTTCTAGAACCTGCTGTTCTTGCAGTTCTTGTTGTTGTTTCATCAGCCTTTGCTGCTGAAGGAGCTGATTCTGTTGTTGAGCTAACTGAATTTGTTGTCTCTGGTGTTGGAGTTGGAAAAGAGGTAGCAGTGGACCAGAGGCTGATAAATCATTAACTTGACATCCAATTCTGAAAACCAACATTGACTTTTGAAACAATGACTTCTGTAAATAGGCAAATCAAGAAATATATGTAATTATGTAGAATGCAAACCTATCGGCATCAGTCTGCCCAGGGCTACACATAGCTTGCAAAGAAGCCTGAATATGAGATGTGGTCACTCCAACTTGGAAACGAAACTGTTGTGTCTTTTCAGTTGAAATTGGGGTTTGGTTTTGCACAGGGGTAACGCTGGGGTCAGGCAGATTGATAGGAAAGGGTCTATAGTCTGTACCTCCAACACCTATGGAAGAAGACTGAAAACTTTGACTAGATTGTTCAGAGTCAAAATTACTGATGGCTTCTGAATTTTCTCTAGAGGCCACAACTGGGGAAAAGTATAATTTGCTGTAATTGGACGCTTTATTAGACGTTGAAGGTAGCTGGTGTTCTTTGGCTAGATTTTCTTCATTCACAAGCTCTGAAGGCTCTTTTCTTTTTCCAAGTCGATTCAGTGACATTCTATCATCTTTGTGCAATTTAATATGTGAGGTAGATTGTAAATTTTTGGTGAGAGAGGATTTACAATGTGGAAATGGCTTTTCTTCTGAAAATTTGTACTCTTGATAAAATGATCCAGCATTGTTGCCCTCTCCTAACGAGGAATACGCTGATGAAAGAGCAGAGTTGTTTTCTTGAGGGAATTTTCTTTTAAGAGGTGGATGAGCATCAGGGCATTGACCTGTTAAAAATAATAATCCATTTTCAAAGTTTGCGGGCGGGGAGGGATAAATTCTAGTGAAGTAGAATCAAGTCCAATAATAGTACTGTGGTTTTCTCACATTTCCATTGATTGGATGATGCTAACTGTTCTGGCTTCATATCTTTCTCTTCATGCATTACAGTGGACAGTAGAGAAGGGGATATAGTACTCGGAGTATCAAAGCGAGGCATTGATTCTGATATCACACTTTCAGGGCAGCTAGGAGGATATTGAATAATTGGATTATGGCAGGCAGCAGTACTTTTCCCCAAACTAAATGATAATGGAGGAGCCTTTCCTGCACTATGCAACCTACGGTAAGAATTTGAAATATGAAAACAGACTGGGTTGTGATCACTGAGTTTAACTGCAGGTTTTCTTTTACCCATTGTCCAGCATTGGAATAGCTATTGAGCTGATTCTTGTGCTGTGGTGACTCTCTTTTCTTGTTGCTGAATTATCCAAAGAGTTTTTTCTCATTTCAGCTTGATTATGCATCATAATACCTCCTTTGGCCATTTTAGAGGCCCTGAAATAAATAGTAGTTTAATTTTTGGATGTAGTTGTGGAGTTTAAATTTAAGGTGACTCACATGTCAAATTCAAGCAAACCAAATATTTGAGTTCGTGCTCTAATATCACTATTTGTTGTCTGCGATGGTGGCCGAGGAACTTCCATGTGTAATCTTAGGCCACATTGTGGTTTCACAGGGTGAATCCAGCCTAACTCTGCTGACCTCATTATTTCAGGAGTAAAGTAGCATAAGATATTGGTGAAAAAATAAATAAAATAAAACACTGAACAGATACCAAGGTTAAAAATAAAGTAATGTACTAGTACAATATTAACAGAGCAATGCAAGTCAATCACCAATTTATCTAGTTTCAGAAATTGAACAAAGGTTGGAGCAAACCTTAGTTCATTAGAATGTTCTTATTGGTAGTGTTTTGAATTAAATATAAATGAGGCTGTAAAAATTGAACATTGGAGTACCTGGGATCTTGAGCATCAAATCGTGTGTTCCTTATATGGGCAGTAATGTCGCCAGCCTGTTCAGGAATCTCACCTCCATACCACTGGGAACTCTGTGAGTGTAAATTCCCTTTCAAATAAGGCAAAATATATTAAAAATAGTGTTTCCATAAACCATATTGCTTGTACATACACGAGAGAGTGCATGTGAAGTTTCTCTTTGAGATGAAGAACGGCGCCCAGAATGGGGCCTATTGTAGTGTGGGGAGACCTGAATTTTCTTGTTGTGTTCTGATGCTGGAGGTCCACATGCACAGTGCCGATTGCTGGGCTCAGCTGGTGGAGAACCGCAACAAGTAGCACTGCTAACTATTTCGCCAGTTGGCTCAGGTACAGGAGGCCCACAAGTACATGCACTAGCAACACATAAAAACAGTCACATTATCATAGGCTCTAATACTAATACAATACAATGCTACAGAATAAAGTGAAGAAATCGAGAAGTTTGCAGGGTAATACAAATAAGCTCCAACTTTGATGAATGAAGTAACCAACCATGCACTAGATTCAAAAGAAAATGCCATGCAAAGGAAATGAATTACATGCAAGACAATGACCCAACAAATGAAAAAAGTTTTACCTTCTTGATATTTCAGGTGACTTGTAAGAATAAGGATCGGGATCAGTTTCTCTAGATCTCCTGCTTTCAACTTCTCGTGACCTTCTACTCTGAGAAGACCTATCATCATACCTCCGGTGCGTATCTTCTGAAAATCTAATGGTCTCAGCAGCCTCTCGTCTAGCATCAGACATATTTCTTCTACTTGCTCGATCAGATTCTTCAAGCCCAGCAACACGCTGCTTTAAACTTTCAATAGTTTCCCTGCACCGTTGTACCTCCTCTTTGGCCTCATCAAGAGTGCGGGCCAAGTGATCGTTTTCTGCCCTCATTTGCCTTACTTCATGTTCTCTTTCACTGGCTGTTTGTGTGAGACTTGTCTGCTTCTGTGTTTGTTTCTCTACTTCTGAGAGACTTTGCTGCAATCTACGTTCATATTCTACAACACTCTCTCTATTTCTCTCTAGTAACTCTTCTGCTTTATTTGCTCTTCCAGTGAGCTGATCAACTGTATACTGAAGAGTTTCTATTTGAGCAGTCATCTGGATGGACAAATTATTATATGTCACTACAAAAATGAAATAAATAATGATTGTGTTCCTGTATAATTTTCCCACTTACAGTTCGATTGTCTTGTTCAAGTTCAGCAGCCCTTGCTGCTTGAGCAGATACCTGGGATCTACTCTCAGCAAGAAGGTTTTCCATTGATTGGATGGTTGCTCTTAGCTCTTGTTGTTGGCGTTGAAGGAGGGCAGCTTGTTCAGACACATCTTGAGTTTGCCGTTCAGCCTTTAAATGTATCAAAAGTATAAATGAAGCAAACAATATTCAACCACTAAACTAAGATTGAATTAGACTAACATAAATCTCTTACATTTTCCTTTTGTTGCTGTAAATTGTCCAGCATATCTTGAAGCGCTTCTTTCTGAGATTCAAGCTGACGAGCTAATCCATGGGCTGATTGAAGATCCTGCTCAACAGATTCTCTCGCCACTCGAGACTCCTCCAGCTGACGCTCTAAGTGAGCAATTGACGCTGATAATTGCTCAATCTGAAAATAAAACATTATTTTAGACACTAAAAGAGAATTGATGATTAGATCATATCAGTAGAATATTTATACCTGTTTCTCGTAGCTCTGAACTATTTCATCTTTATCAGCCAATTGGTGATTAAGAGAATGGACTTGCTCTCGATACTGATCAAGAGAGCCCCTCATTGTGTTATATTCCGTTTCCAGAGTCATGTTATGTGAGTCCAGTTTTGAAGCTTCATCACTGAGATTACGGAAAGTTTCAAGCATTTCACTTCTTTCTGCCTCCTGCAAAACATTCACACACGTTAATAAAAACGTAATTATGAAATAACTTTTTTTAAAAAAAGAGAAAGATTGAACAGTGAGGTATGCCTTTTCGCCAAGTAATTCTTCAAAGCGCTCCACTTCCAAGACGTAAATTTGCAGCTGCTTCTTTAAGTTGTCCACTTCTCGACAAGACTCTTCGTAGCTCTGGGTGGTAGCTCGGAGGGATGCAGTCATTGCAGCGAGTTCCTCCTGAAGGCGCCTACGAGGGCCAAAAACAGCAATGTCAGCAAGAGGGAGAAGAAAGAAACTGGCCCCATTAAATATATAACGGCTACGGTAAGGCTCGTGAGCGCCTGTCAACCGGTGGGTAGGCAGCCCATCCGACACTGAGGCACCCCCTGTCCCCGTCAACAGTGCGAAGCGCGTGGAGCGCTGAGAATCCCTATCAAGTCAACTCCATTCATCGAGCGGGACTTCCAAGTTCCACGGCAAGTTCCGCACTCACTTGTTTTCCCTGACGGCGGCCTCGTTGGAGGCGGCCAGCGAGCGCCGCGACGCCTCCGCCTGGTCGTAGTCCCGGGTCATGGCGCGCAGCGACTCCTCCAGCTCGGCCCGCTGCTTCTGATCGCGCCTGAAACAGACACAATGATAAAATGTTTAAGCTTTCCAGATCAGAATCCTACTGCTCTGGCGACCTGGGAAGATCAATGGAACACTGGAAAAACAATGGTGCTACGTAGCACCTTAATAAGGTACTGGTGCCTCTAGAAAGACCAAAAGGTGCCTGATTGTTTAGCACTGCTGCAGTAACACCAACAAAAGTTCTGTAGACTGTAAACCCAAGAGTGTACAGATTACACTCTTCCTTCTTTCAGCGCACACAAAAAAATTGGGTGCCTGGCATGTGCCATGCATGTACACACTTCCTAGTGTGCCATGCTATGCTATGCACACACTTTCTTGTGTGCCCTTTCAAGTACACACAAGAGAGTGTACTATATAAACACTTGGGTTTACAGCGCAGCGCCTCTTGAAAGGTGCTGAGTAGCATAATTGTTTTTCCATTGAAGAGCTGTGAAAACCCCAGGGAAGACCATAGGTCGACCATATGGTAGAGGATCGTCCGCCGTATATCATTTGTTCGCACACCGGCGGACCAAACTTGCAGGCATCTGTTTGTTTTTCACTACCCTTCGAAAAATAAATGTTAACAGTTTCAGATGTGTGGGTAAGAAGTTACGCCCTTCAGAGTCGTAAAATGTTGACCTTTATTGCCCCAGTGACGGGATGAGCTTGGGCGGGGCTCAGGGCGCCTTGCACTGAATATCGTGAGACGGGCGCGGAAGCGAGAACAGCAGCACAGCAGAGCAGGACGGCGACAAGAAAATGTTTTTGCACAATCGTGCCTCATCTCGCGGCCGGGAGGAGCCCTGCAGCGAGGAGGGGCCGGGCAAGATGCTATACATGGAGACGGTCCGAGTGAGCTGAGCTGAGCGGGGCTGAGCTGCTCGCTTTATCGGGGCGGTAAGTGGAAATTGATCAGTTCTCGCCATCGACGGAAAACACGCGGAAATCGGTCCGAGCAGGAAACGGAACCACTCTGCGCCTTCTGCCCGCCCGCCCCGCGCGAGCAGGAGCGTGTTATCATCGAGGATGGAAAACAAACCGAACGCTTTATACTTTTACACCCAACTATATTGTAGAGTACTTCGCTTCTGAAACGCAGCTATACACAGGAGGGGAGGGGAGGAGAGGGAGGTGAGACAAGGGGCACCCCGTCGGGGCGGCGAGTCGCACAGACGCAGGCGCACAGCAAATCACTTCAAATTTGTCCTGTGCTGCCGACGAGCCGCCCCGTCCCGCCCGCCCGCCGCAAATGCGGCCGCCGCACCGCGCGCACAGGGAAAGTTTGGACCGAATTTATGGCGCACTGTGACGTATCACGTGGCTTACTCTTCTGCGCTGCTGCAAATGCAGCCAGCAACGGCAAGGCGCAGCGCCCGGCGGCGCGGGTTAGTCAACGCAGAGCTCAACAAGTCCGTCATCACATCGCCACGGAGCAGAAGACACACCGTGAGAGGCTATGGGTGAGCAGTACAACAAAAGCGTTATCGCCGTTCATAACGTTCCAGAGCCCCGCTTGATAACGTCAAATTCCTCCGCGGCGTTACGTGTCGTTCGTGCGGGGCTGCAGCGGGGTGCGGCGCGCGGCGTCACGTTTGTCACGACAGCGTGGCGGGGCGTGGTGTGGCGGGGCGGGGCGCGTCGCAGTGCGCGCGCTGACCGCGTCCCTTCCACTTGGCGCCACAGCGGCCGGCAAGGGCGCTAAACTCTCGCCACGCGGTACTGAAAATACTTTCCTGCTGCGGCCTCCATGGAGTGCACAGACAGGTGCGATTGCTTTGCAAGCGTCGCCGCAAAACGTGACACGTACATGAAGTTTCGCGTTTCAAACGAGGATTGGTAAAACTTGTCTTTTTGATTGAAAAGAAGAAAACTAAGGATATAGATAATACTAAAGTAATTACAGGCTTAAGAGGTTGATAATAACCAACAATTAATAAACTGTAAGCAACTACTGTTCACTGCCTCTCGCATTCGCGATAAGATGACGGCTAAGTGGCGGCAAGAGGGAAATGCAGGCTAGCCCTCTCTCGCTCTCTTTCTCTCTATGTCTCTCTCCGAGCCCTCGGCCACTGGGCAGGCGGCGGCGGCTGGAAGGGAGAGACCACACCTCGCATCCGCGCGCCGCCGCGCTCGCTCCTGGCCGCGCTCTGGACCGTTTTCCGGCATACTCCTTTCCCCGATCTTGATTCAATGCAGCAGAGAGCCGCGCCGTGCCGCCGCGTTGGGCGCGCTGGGCCGGGCCGGGCGCGCCGGCCGCCACATACAAGACCAGCACTCCCCTCGGTACCGCCGGCTGACCGACCGGCCGGCGCTCGGACACACCTACTCTGCCAACAACAAGACTCTCTGCCAGGGCAAGAGGAGGCAGGCGGCTGCTGCTGCTGCTGCTTGTGGTGCGGGGATGATCTCCCCCCTGGCGGTCTCTCTCGTACTCCCACGAGACTCCGTATACGCCTGGCGCGCTCGCACACCTCCCCGCCAGCCGCCCGGCCCCCGGGCAAGGCCGAGGCGTGGAGCTGCGCGGCGGGGCTGGCTCTGCTGTAATGTTATTGCCTAGCGTTGCCTCATCCCGCCGACCCAAGGCGGCCCCGCCGGCCGGCCCGACCGGGGCGACGGCGACAGATTGGTCGGATAGCAAAAGGGCATACTGCCGAGCTTGTTGTGCTGCAGCTACACCTCACCACCAACAAGAGGAGGAGGACGATGTTGGCGAGCGGCCGATATCTTGGCGAGGGGATCTAGTGGCCCGGCACAGGGCCATGTTGTAGCTCATTGTGTGCCCCGGGGTGGCGTCCCCGTGTCAGCCTGGCCGCTAGAGGGGCGAGGGGAGAGAGCGGGGGAGGCGACTGCAACCTCCTCCACAGAGGACTCCTCTCAGCGCGACCCGAGCGCCTGTCAGGGTGGGCCGACCTGTCGAGCGCGGGTGCGTTGCGGGGCTGCCTACCCACCGCGAGGCAGGCGCTCGGCCCGAGCGAGTCCCGCAGCGCAGTGATACTGACAACGCCGCTGCACCTCGCTCGACCGCGACAGACACCTCCACGCACGGAAGGCGGCGCCCTGGACCCGGACTGGGTCGCACTCCACGTCTTGTGGACGACGAACAGCCCGCGCTCGCCCCTGCTATACGGCGAGTCCTCGCATAACACAGCAGCAGTGCTGAGCAGCAGGCCGCCCACCTCGTGGAGCGTATATCACTTTTCAATTTCCCGGGGCGGCAAACATAAGACCCCCCCCGTCCCAACACAAACACAGACAAGGTACAATATCGAACGCACATCGGCGCACACGGTGCGGGCCGGCTGCCATGGGCCCCGCGGCCGAGCCCCCGCGCGCACTGATGCGGACGTGATCCGGTCCTTGAGTAGCATGTAATGAGCTTCAACCACACTCGCACACACGCAGACACTAACACACACAGCGACAGGGACGTATGCCCCGCAACCACGTGCGCCGCCCTGCTGCACTCCCGACGCTCTCCGAATCGCATCTCTTGCCAGCGAGCTGCTGCTGCTGCTGCGCCCCGGCGGCGGCATGGCACACGGCATGGCATCACGGCTCGCGGCCGTCATTCAATCAGCTGATGAGGCCCGAGATAATGATGATGTTCCGAGCCGTATGTGTTTTGGGGCCGCGCCTCCGCCGTACAGCGGCTTACGTCCGTACTACGTCCCGGCTTACGGGCCCTTACGGCTCATAACGGGGCGGGGCGGAGCTGCGCGCGGCCATTAGGGAACATCCCGGTTATTTATCGCGGCCGATCAGCTGTCATTATTACGTTACAAAGTAGCGGCGGTCGAGCTACATGGCAGTGCAGCGCCCCCGGACGAGTCTATATCGCGTCGATCCTTTCCGTGGGTCCTCTTTACACAGGGTATGGGTGATCCGCGTCGTCAATTTTTTCTGCCCGCCCTTACGCCTGAATCCGGTTCAGTGTGAGCAGAAAAATCCGCGCGCGGATCACCCACCCTGTAGGGATTTTAAAGTGCGAATTATTGTCTGGAATAATTTGAAAACTTCTCAAGGAAATTTTTGAAAAATTAGAAATATTTCCAGAAATATTGAAACAAACAGTGTAAATTCTCAGAAAAAAGCTGAGGGAATCAAAAGAAAATCTTGAAAATTTTGTCAAAAATATCGGTTGGAAATTCAAAATCCCTCCTCCACACACACGGACGCGCCCGCCGTCCTCCCCGCGGGGCGCAGAGGCGGCGGCAGAGGCGGCCCAGGCCCCCGGGAGATAAATAATGGGTGCGCCGCATGCGCCGGCATTTGTAATCCGACAATCAGAATGCGTTAAGTGTTCAACACCTTCACTTATTGACGGCATCTTTAGTGGCCATCTGAAAACCGCAACGTTATTGAAACAGCCGCCCAGAAGAAGAACCTCCCCGCGCTAGAGATAACGATACTAAGCGCTTCGCAGCCTGCTTCGGGCGACCGGCCTGGAAGCAGCAGGTCGATTTGCCTCTGCTTGTGAGCTCAGTAGGGCGTGGCAGGGCGTGGCGGGGCGTGGTGGGGCGTGGCGGGAGTTTGCGGTCAGATTTTGCGTGGAACACACAACCTATTGCGGAGTCCCATGGTGATTGAGTACTCCGTCGTGTTCGCTTCGTCGGCTTACGACGAGCGGTAAGGGGGCCAGGGGGGGGGGGGGGGGGGGGAGACAACGCGAGGGGTGCGGAGGGTGCAGAGAGGAGAGCAAAAGAGATCCCACTTCAACCGCGCGTCCATAAATACAGGGCGTTATACGGCGCTGCACGTCTAGAGGCGCGCGGCATGGCGGGGCGTGGCGGGGCACGGCAGGGCGCGGCGGGTTGGGGCGTGGCAGGGCGCGGCGGGGCGTGGTGGGGCATATCTGTACCACTATTATCCGGAGCGGCCCAGAGGTATATATCGATATGGTACACTCTACTTCCGGGCGGCAGCGTCGCGGTCTGGCCTCGGCAGAGCCGGGCAGAGCGTACACCACAGAGGCTCACCCCGTAACTCTGTTTCCCCCCTCCATCC